AACTAAGAAAGGTGAAGCCAGCCACTAGCTTGATTTGAAAAGGACAGACAGATATAAGGAAAGGATGAATTAAGTTTGCAGGGAAGCTACCAGGGGTTAGACAAAGAAGTGCAAGAAGTAACTGCTAGAAGGGAGCACATCCAGTGCTAAGGCAAAGGTCTGGCACAGGCCCTGAAACTCGGGCTGAGGAAACAGCAAAGAAATTTCCAGTGGTGGGGATACACAAGAAATACCTGAAGTAAAAGAATCGTGAGGTGTTAACTAAGCTGAGACACCACCTTTGCTACTAATTCCGATTTTCTAACAACTCTTCTATAAACAGCTGCTTTGGGGACCATGCTTAGGGTGTACAGAAAGCAATGCAGGTATGAGACAGGCTCAAAAGACAAGTGAGTGGGATTTAAGACAGCACACGCCGAGATGGGAGTAAGAGGAATACAAGCTGCCTGAAACTCTGCAGAAGCATCTGGGGAGGAAGATGTGCCCCACCACTTATAGACTAAGACTTTAAAGGTGTACTTGACACACCCAGCTGGATTACACCCAGTGAAGCAGAGTACAACAGTCAAGGCACTGGAATGACGGGTTAAAAGCAGGGTGGGATCACTGAGATCATCAAGAGCAGCTAACTACTTCATGTCAGGGTGACCCTTCTCTAGCCCTGTAAGTATGTTAAAGAACTGGAGAACAAAGGAGACAGAGAAATTACAAATAAGACTGAGCACATGGGTAAAGGTCCAAAGCCAGGAATGAGGGTAGCCTGCTCAGAGAGAGAACAGAGCAGAAACTGGCCTATTTGGAACACAGAGGACCAACTGGCAGGCCAGACTACAGTAAGATTAGCCAGGTAAGACGACACTAGATGGAGGAAAGCTCTGAAACCTAGGATGAGAAATCTGAACTTTATTTCACGAGCAGTGATGGGAAGGGAAACTGCTTTCTTCTGTTTTGACGCTTTATTTAGTTCGCATAGTAAAATACTGTGGCAATGTAGACTGGTCCCCTTCCCTGCATTAGAACTAGCCTGATTTCCCACTATTCAGGTCACACTGCAGACTCTCGGGTACACTCATGACTTCTATGAAGATAAGACCTCTATTTGCTTCTCCAACACCTGCCAACTGTTCTCAAGAGTTCTTCCACTGCTCTGCACCACTTATTCCCTCTGTAACATTTACTGAGTATCTATCCTGGGACATATCCAAATGAGGGATTTAAATATGACTCAAAGTCTCCCTAGTTCAGTGGTAAATCCCTTGCCTGGCGTGGACAAGGCCTAGGTATGATCCCTGGTACAGCAAAAATAAAAGTTAAGTAAATGGGAAAAATAAGCATGACTCAGTCCAAAGGCCAAAGAAATTCAGTCTGGTGTAAGCAGAAGCCAAGAAAACAGACCAGTACAAACTAATTGGTGGGTGCTAGAGAAGAGGAATCTTACAGTGTCAGAAAAGCAAAGGACAGATATGTCAGTGTGGGGTTAGGAAAGACAGAGAACACCTAGAAATCTTTCTTCTGAGCTAAGCTGTGAAGAAAAATAACACAGTGGGGAGAAGTGGTTGAGATGGCACAAATCCAATCAGACCCCCAAAGGAAGCCTACTCCACCCAACAGACTCCAAGTTAATTGCACATGGCTGAACAAAGCACAAAAACCAAAGCAAGGACCAAATCACCAGCATGGGTCAGCTAGGACTGTAGAGTGGCTGTACCCTCCACTGTAACATCTTACACTTTCAACATTTCATGTGTAACTCTCTTTTCCCTAATAAGAATGTAAGCTCCTTAAGATGGCTTACATTTTTTAAATGTTACACATATCTCTCCTACAGCATGGAGCACAGAAGTACAACATCCTAAACAAACAATTCCTTTTTAGTAATTCAGTGACTTTTGCCCATTGAGTTAAAAAAAAAAAAGTCAATTGTTTAAGGAAGAGTAAAGTGGGAAAACAGTGGTAGGAAATGATTAGAAAGAAATACAAAGGAACCTTCTGGGGAGATGAAGATGTTCTAATTTGTAAGATAGAAATATAATACAAATGTCTCTATTTGTTTGAAAAAAGTGCAACTAAGAATTGCACATTTCAATGACTATAAGTTTTACCTAAAAATCTATAAAAAGGATCAGGGCACAAATAGATATGGATGAAACAATATGGATAAAGTTAATGAGGGGTTATTATATTCTACTTACTCTGTATGTATATAAAATTTTCCATAACAAAAGTGTGTGTGTGTGTGATATTTAACAGGATGATAAAAATTACATTAGCAGAATTGTAAAGCAACAGAAATTTTATCCACTCTAATATTTAGAATAATGTTGCAACATAACTCCTGAAGTGGTTTTACTTGCTCTGTTACCTATCCAATTCCAAAAGATTTTTTTTTTTTTTTTTTTTTTTTTTTTTTTTTTTTTTTTTTTGGTTTTTTCGAGACAGGGTTTCTCTGTGTAGCTTTGCACCTTTCCTGGAACTCACTTGGTAGCCCAGGCTGGCCTCGAACTCACAGAGATCCGCCTGGCTCTGCCTCCCAAGTGCTGGGATTAAAAGCATGCGCCACCACCGACCGGCCAAGAATATATATTCTAAGACAGACCTACTATTCACAAGATGGACAAAATAAGGACTAGCAACCACCTATCCCTTAGTTACGCACCAGACATTAAAATAATTAGCTCTGTTGCCAAATACAAACAGTAAAATAGAAGGTCAGAATTTTCTAACCTCCAAACTGTGAAACCAAAGGTAGGAACTGAAAGATAAACATAAGATCATGGAAGTACACAATATAATATATATATTAGCTATATATATCACTAAAAATTATATATCTATGAATGGTATATACATATCATTCTTAGTGATTTTTGAAAGTTTATTTTATCTCAGGAATTTATGACGCACATTTATCTGTCTATAATCTGCATTTTCACCTCTCAAAATATTAACACCTAAAACAAAGATTTTGCTACTCATCCCAATATGAAAGATTAGCAACTCTATTTTGTTCATTAAATTACCTGTTGCATAATTCTATCTCCAGAAAGTTCACAAAGTTTCTTAAAAATATCTTTGGAATGTTAGATGAACAGTTTCAATTACTTAGGAAGATAAATTGTATTATACTATGTCACCACTATTGCTACTATTTCCCATTAGATTATGTTTAAACCCCCCTGTACTCAATAATCTACAACATTATAAATCAGTGGAGCTGTTGGCTTGGACTGTGACTGGAAATGGACACGAGGGGTTTCTAGGATGCTGATAATATACTGCTTCTTGACCTGGGCACTGGTAACACAGGTGTGTTCTACTTGCACAAGTCTAACAAGCCTGACATTGACGCTAGATGTTGTTTTCTGTATGTAATGTTAATGTCCTAGCAAAGAGAACTGTTTTTAAATCGTCAGAGCTGTTAGTAGTCAAGTTCCCTTCCTATTAAAATGCCTGTTCTATGCACTGAAACGCTCCTCTGCAAAAAAAAAAAAAAGAAAAAGAAAAAAGAAAAGTAGTTTAAAGCATTTAATATTTTCTATCAGCACATCCCCAAATAATTGATAACTTCTAATTGCAAATGGGCGTTCAAAAAAGACACAACCTAAGAGAAAAATATTTACGAGTTAATCCTTTTCTCCCACCTACCCCCAAATAAATACTTTTTTAAAAGGCAAATAGTTAGTGTATGACGGTGATGCAGATCATTATTTTGTAAAGCCGCTGTAGGAATAAAAAGTATCCTGCAGACAACAGGCAAGTCAACGCAGACAGAAGGACAAAAAATACTTCATGGAAAGGGTACTAGGAACTCCGTGCTAGTATGTTGGACCACATTCCTGATAGTTCAGGCAAATCAAAAGCAGGAGACAACAGTACCTGCCCAGCGGGTCAATGAAATAAAATGCTTGGAAGCATTACTCTAAGACTGAATATTAACTATCCAAAGACTAGCAAGAACGCTTAGGCGGTAACCTTTTCTCCTTCACTCGCTGAAATCGAATGTGCGACAAGAAATAGAACTGTGCCTGCAATCCCACTACCAGAACCCAATTCTCCTCTTCTCTCCTCATTTCCCCCAAGTTCAAAGCAAACTTGAACGTTCGTTCTCTCCAGGCGGGAAGCAGTATGGTGTGATTAACAAGTGCTCTTCACCTAAAACACACTTTCACCTTTCACCTACAAAGCCGAGGGAGGGAACTTTGTCCTCCACACACCGCGGTGCCAATTCAGCTTTTCCAAATGAAATGTCAGGGCGTTCGCCGACCAGGTCGGGCCGGAGGCGAGGGCACCCCTTGGGAAGAAAACCGTGCCAAGTGGACCTAGAACACCCCCCTTCGGAACGCCCTGGCGACTCGGCACCGCCACTACTCGGGAGTCCAGCCCAACCTGGTCCCAGGGACTCAGCCAAGTGCGTCCAGCGAACAAATCCTTTCGAGCTCTCCGTAGCGATGAGATGGCAAAACCAGAACGCACCCAGAAAGTTGGCATAGAGGAGGGAGGTGGGGGGGGGGGGGCGCGGGGACACGGCGCGCCCTCTTCCCTCCCACAGTCCGGGGCGAGCGCGGTGACCACCCCCAGGCCGCCGAGGGCCGCGGGGACCCGGCGGGGCGGGGAGGGGACCGCCGGCCTCGCTCCGCGGGCACCCGCGCAGCTCGGGCCCCGGAGGAAAAGGGCAAGGCGCGCGCCCGGGAGCACCGGCTCGGGCCCGGGAAGGCGGCGCGGCCGCGAGCCTCACCCGTGCAGGCCGAGGGCGCGGCGCCGCTTGTGGAGCAGGCAGAGCAGCAGGAACGCGGCCCCGGCCAGCGAGGAGTTCCGCGCCGTCAAGTACTTGCTGAAGGCCGCCATGGCACCGGCAGGGCGAGCGAGCCGCGGGCTAGGGGACGCGCCGGCGGCGACTGCCTCAGTGCAGGAAGCGCGGGGGAAACTGGGAGGAGAGCTCGGCGCCGAGCGAGGGCGGGGCCGGCCGCGCGGGAACGCCCCCTGGCGCGCGCCGCCGCCGCCGCCGCCGCGCCGAGCCCCCCGCGGACTTTGGCTTCTCGGGCGCGCGCGCCCCGGCGCGGGGAGGTCGAAAGGTTCGCCCCCCTCCCCCCCCCGCAACCACCTCCCCCCCGGGGGACGCTCTGCGCACGCGCGGACCCCCGCGGACTCGCCGGAAACGCGGCGGGCAGCCGCGGCGGGTCCTCGGGTGCCGGGTCCGTGGCCGCCCCCGCTTCGGCCTTGTGAGCTCCGCGTGCACACATCCTGGCTTTCACAAGACCTGGAAGAGCCGGCCAGGCCTGCGCCGCGGACTCGGTGAGTCCGGCCCCTCCGCCATCCCCTGGATGAGTCGGTGCCACCTTCTTAAAGAAGCCGGGGAAGGAGGGCAACGGCCCCATCACCGAGCCCGGCAAGGCTGGAGGCGCGGTCATCATTTGCAACTTGAAAGAGTGAAGGGAGACCTGGGAAGAAAAGACGCCAGCAGATCAAATATCGTATTCCAAGTCGTCGTGGGTTATGATCTCTATAGAGTTCTGTAAAAATCGGTTTAGGAGAACGGGCCCATCATTCAGTCTTTAAATACTATGTAGTAGAAAAGAGTGCGTGACAAAAAGGAGTTTTAAGGGAAAAAAATTATTCTTTTTGTATAGATATGTACCAGGAATGGCGATTTAAAAAAAAAAAAGTATTTCTTTATGTTAGGTCTGGTCAAAGAAAGTTTGAGAAACACTGTTCTTTGCAAAGGGACATTCAGAAATAACAATCGTGCGTTGTATTAATGCTGGCCTTACTCCCAGAAGCAGAAGGGCTTTACAGATTACAACATTCTTCTCCTGTCCCACCCCTATCATGCAGGAATTGTTATCCCTGGCGTTTAGTCTCGCGCATGCACAATAACTTAATGAATGGTTGGTTTCAGTTGAGGGAACCGTAGAGAGGCAAGTGTCAGTCAGAAAGAGAGCTTATAAAACCTCACACAATACATACACGTTTGAAAGTTGCCTACGAGTTTAACCAATGACACAGTGGTGCCCCAGGTGTTCTCTCTGTGTGCATGGTTGGTCGTTTAAAAGGTTATGAGAATGGCAAAGACCAGATACAGTGGCGTGTGCTGTGTACAGTTGCTCAGTCGGTCAAAAGTCTAACTTACGCAAAAGTAAAGCCTCTACCAAATCCTCCATCTGCCATTCGTGTATTTCCTATTACCCTGGGAATCATTTAGGTAATTAGGTGTGCTTGGCCCAGAGAATACAAGTATGAACAATCAATCCCTTATTCTCCAGAGGCCGGTACAGGAGAAAAACATGAAGAAAAATATGGATGAGTTAAGTGACCTGTTAGAAAAATGAACTAGGTACTATGAGAATACCAATAAGAACATTTAGAATTTTTCTAGAACTTTTCATTAAGGCTTGACAAATACGATGATTTCAAAACTACACCCTAAGGCCAAAGGAGTCTACCTGCAGATGGAAAGAGGGGAGTGCTAGTTCACTAGTGAACTGCAGTGTAATGTAAAAGTGCTGGGGACCTGGGTGGAAAAATGAGTTTGTGATAATGAAGGGGGTGCTTCTAAAACTGATTGAAAACATCATCTGTGAGGGAATAGACTTCAAAACATTCAGGAAAAACAAACAAAAAAGACAATAATCCACAGACAAGATATTCTACAAAATATCCTTGCTCAAGAAGCATAGAAGATTTTAAGGGGCAGGAGGAGAAAGGAAGAAAGGGAGGGAGAGAGGGAGGGAGGGAAGGAGGGAGAAAGAAGGGAAATTATACAAGCTGCACTGTTTTCTAGTTGTGGATATGCCCATCTGATAAAAACCACCGAGAGTTAGTCCAACAGAGTCAGCTTTACCAAACTGATGCAAAAAGCAACACCGCACAGCAGAAGGATTGTGGCCCTGATCCCCAAAAGAGGATGAAGAAATTTCTGCACTTAGTATAAAATCTGAATGAAGTAGTGCTTGAGAGGCTCAAAGCAAATCAGATCTACTTCCAATAGTAAACCTGAGATGAAAAGTAGACTCCAGGTTCTATTCCTTTGGAAACATAAATTTTAAATCAGTGCAGAGTATTGTTTACCCCTTGTCTTTAAATTTTGGCCTGTCTTAGTTTGGGTTTCAATAGCTGCCATGAAACACCATGACCAAAAAGCAAGTTAAAGAGGAAAGGGTTGATTTGGCTTATATAGTCCTTCATTGAAGGAAGTCAAGACAGGAACTCAAACAGGCAGGAACCTAGAGACAGGAGCTGATGCAGAGACCATGGAGGGGTGCTGCTTACTGGCTTGCTTGCTCATGGCTTATTCAGCCTGCTTCCTTATAGAACCCAGGACACCAGCCCAGGTATGGCACCACCCATGATGGGCTGGGCTCTCCCCCATCCACTAATTAAGAAAACGCTTATAGGACTGCCCTTGTGAATCTTAGAGAGGCATTTTGATAACTGAGGTTCCTGCCTCTCAGATGACTTCAGCTTGTGTCAAACTGACATAAGACTATCCAGCACAGGACTACTTCTCAAACTCAGGTCATTCAAATCCTCCAAACAAGAAGGCGTTTTTTTCTCCTCTTAGTGATACAATCTCAGAACCCACCGTTGAGGAGTTTAGAGGGGGAAAACGTTCTCCAGCACTATGTCATTTGATAGGCAATTTTTTCAGATTCACATTTCATCATGCCAAATACATATAAGAAAGAAAATGGGATTTTATTAAGCAGTCTGCGGGAGACCTGACCTTTAGAGAATTTGAGCAACTGAGAACAGGGGAGATAGGAGACAAGTGGAGTTGGAGAATCAAGAAAGCGCCCTGGGTGGCAGGGGAACTGTGGCAGCCAATCTCATGGTTGTTCTCCTGAGCTTTGCCTCCTGGTGCCCTTGCCTTTGTGTCTCTCCTTCAGAGCTGGTAGGAAGACTAACCTATGTGACTCTTGACTGAGATCCTAACAAACATCATGACTTCTGCCTTGATCTCCTGCACTGCTTTCTATAGAACCGTGGTTCTCAGCCTGTGACAGGTCATGACCCCTTGGGGTCCCATATCAGATATTTATATTATGATTCATAACAGTAGCAAAATTATAGTTATGAAGTAGCAATGAAATAACTTTATGGTTTGGGGGTCACCAGAACATGAAGAACTGTATTAAAGGGTCACAACATTAGGGATGTTGAAACCACTGCTATAGAGGGAGCCAGCTGCCATGGAGAATTCTCTGGAAGCCCCAGAGAAGCCAGCACCAGCCTGACAGTCACTTGAGAAACAGACCTCTCTCTGCAAGCAAACCTTCAGGAAGCTATAGTCTCATGAATGATCCCATCATACAACTCAATTAAGATGCACCTAAACTCCTGACTCACAGAAGCTGTGAAAAATAATACATGTTTACTGTGCTAAGCACTAAATTTGGAGTGTGATCTTTTTGCAACTGATTGATTTGCATCAACCCTTAAAAAAAAACTGGGACATTTAGAAGAAATAATGGAATCAAAATCACAGAAGCAAAAATAAAGGCAGATCGAGGAGGACGGTGAAGGCTGAGGTTGGAGGAGGGGTGTGAAGTGAGGGGGAAAGGTTGAAATGTTTAGTATCAACTTGTGGAAGACGCTAAGTGCCAAGGTGAGCTTTGTTCTGCATGTGAGGATATCCAGGATATCCATTCTGTACATCATGTGGAAGTTTGGGGAAAGACTAGGACCTTAGCTCTGATTTAGGGCAGAGAACATGCTCATGGAGCATGATGGGTAGACTGAAGGAGGAAACACCAAGCTGAGAGACCAGTTTACACACTTGTGTGAAATATCTGGGTAAAAAGGTAATGAGAACTGAGTCAAGGCACTAAGAAGCAAATAGCAAGAGAAGGATTCTGTGGGTTAAATTTGGATGGGGTAGATGATGTTGCTGATTAGTAGGAAGAAAACTTTTTAATTGACTGTGATATCTCCTGGCTGAGAGAATAATCATATTTACCCACAGCCAAGGGCACAGAAGTGGTGCGTACTTGTTAATGAAGGAGAATGGGAACCAAATGAGCAACCCCCTTACTGTTCTCTCACCGACAGGGTGAACTCCAGGGTCCTCAACACCCACAGGAAGCCAGGTGCAAGAGAAGCTCTGCCTACCTTTCCAAACTTCCCACTACCGCAGGAAATAAGTGGAAACTCCAGTCACTTCCTCCCTGGAACGTACTCTTCTTTCTGCCTTAGACACCAGATCCTTTCTACCCTAATACCCCTATTTCCAACTCAGTTCATCCTGCAAGACGAAGCCCTCTTTTCCAGATTCTGGTAGGATCCTTTGAGTCATGTCCAACTTCAACGTCTGTTCAAGTTTTGACAGAAAGTCATGAAGCCTTCCACCCGTGGAGGCAATGATGTATGGAGCCTGTTCTCCAAACAGGTGAAAAGGAAGAAGAAAATGTTTAATATCTCAAGAAGTTATCTGGTGAGTCACGCATTGAGAACACACCTAAAAGTAAATAAAACAGCCCTGCCCGCCTGTAATTAACAATGGGAACAAGACGGCAATCAAAAAGGAAATGTTATAAAAGCTGTGCTGGGTGTATAATCAGAATTATGTATGAATGTGCAAGAGGAAGAACCTAACCCAGGCTAGGGACTTGCAAGGAAACAAATTCATTTGCCAGATGTTTACTGTCATCTTTGCACGTGCTCAGTTTCTCTCATTTGTGAACTGTGCAGAGCAAATTGAAGTTAGTCTTCATGTTCTGTCCAGCAACCCAATGCCCAGTCATCCGTCTGTGTGGTCCAGCCAAACATTCCTTATAGACCACAATAATGCTCAGCTTGACTAGCTGTTCAGTTCAACATCACCGTCCTCTTTTGAGGGCACAAATTGCTAAGGTGAACCCACCTATGACTGGATTCTTCCCTGTGCTATGTCAGGTCTCCTTCCTAGAAACAGACCTTGGCACAATACCCTCCTCAGGCTGAATCTTGCTCGACCATCTTCATGAGGCACAGGCCCAGTATCTGACTCCCACATTCTCCACCACTACTCACTAGACTAGAAAATTGCGTAACTGAAGACAGTCTCACATGGTCTAGGCTGGCCTTTAACTCACTGGGTAGCTGGGGATGACCTTGAAACTCTGACCCTCCTGCTTCTAAGTACTGGAATTACAGGTTTGCACCACCATGCTCAATTTATATAGTGCTGAGGATCAGATCGGGCTTTCTGGATGTTAGGAAAGCACTGAGCTACATCCCCAGCCTAGAAAAAAAATAAATTATGATGCAAGGTAGTTTTAAAGTAAAATTTATACAAAGTCGGATGGACTCTTTATTATTTTCACTTTTATAATATAAAACCATATTTTCACCAATATAATTGCATGTTATAGTAATATGTTTGATATAAGAAACATATAAATTGTCTTACATGATGAAATATGTATATACATTAACGCATACTGAACTATCTGCTCTATCTGGGTTATAAAACATGTTAAAGACTTGTTGGTGGCTATTGTCTTGAGAGAGAAAAGACAGAACTCCACAGTAGATGAAGAAATCAGAGGACATCTGAGAATGAGTGTGGTAATAGAGTTGGTAGCAGCCGAGGGTCTTGTTACATTTTGATTCAGGAAGAAAGCCTTTTATCTCGATTTGCCCTAGGCTTAAGTGTAGTGGGTAGCCATTCCAGCTTTGATCTGGAAGTTCCAACCCCCATTGAGACTTCGGTAACTGTCATGCCTACAAGGTGGGGCCAAGAGAGGGCCCTGAAGACCCGAGATCCGGATGCACCATCTCTCTTGGTTCCTGGACCCTGGACGCTGGAGGTAGACCGAGCAGAGTTCTCAAGAGAACACCGCCAGACTGCGCTGCGTCTTTCCCAGAACCCGCAACCTACCTATCCCTTCATTTGTAAGTTACACCACTAAATAAACCTCCCTTTTAACTACGTGGAGTGACCTTAATAATTTCACCAATACTTAAGTTCCTAGGACCTGGTACTTTTCTGTAATACAGAACCTGATCATGTCAGGCTGGCATCTAAAATCCTTCAGCTACTTTCCATCATGTTAAGAATAAAATACAGGGCTTGGAAGATGGCTCAGTGGGTCACATGCTTGCTGGACAAGCGTGAGAGTCTGAGTTTGCATCCTCAGACCCATGTAAAGCAGGACACAACAGCACTCCTGTAATCCTGGAACTCCTACTACAGGCTAGGAAGTAGAGACAGGAGAATACCCAGAAACTCAAGAGACAGCTAGTCTGACAGATACAACAGAGAACAGAAAAAATATGCCCAACCTCCAACAAGGCAGAAGGCAAGGACCAATATCCAAGGTTGTCCTCTGACCTCCACGCGCATGCTGTGACAAGCAAACGCTCTCACACACGGACACACATACACACACATAGAGGTTAAAAAAGAAAGAAGAAGAAATGCAGCCAGGTGAGGTGGCTTATGCCTACGGTTTTAGCTACGTGGGGACCAAGGCAGTAGAATCTCTTGAGCCCAGGAATTGGGCCAGCTTGGGCAATGTGGTGTGACTCTCAACTCAAAACCAAACCAAAAGGAAGGAAGAAAATACAAACTTCTCAGCCACTGAGCAACATCTCCAGCCCTTACATGCTGTGGATATCACTCTGTATAAATAAAATGCTGATTGGCCAGTAGCCAGGCAGGAAGTATAGGTGGGACAAGCAGAGAAGAGAATTCTGGGAAGTGGAAGGCTGAGGCAGAGAGACACTGCCAGCCGCTGCCATGACAAGGGAGATGTAAGGTACCAGTAAGCCACGAGCCATGTGACAAAGTATAGATTAATAGAAATGGGTTAATTTAAGATAGAAGAACTAGATAGCAAGATGCCTGAGCCATTAGGCCAAACAGTTTAAATAATATAAGCGTCTGAGTGATTATTTTATAAGTGGGCTGCGGGACTGCCAGGCTCGGCGGGTCCTGGAGAGAAAACTCTAGCTACACTTACAGATGTTTAATCTGGCCCCCGGCTTCCTCTTTCCCTCCAGGCACAGGAGTTTCTTACTCAGTAGCCCAGGCTCGGCCAACTGTTGCATTCTAATGAAATAGCTTCAAACCTTAATCTACTGCCCCATCCCAGTACTCTTTGGCTTTCCATGTTTTACTCGGTTTCTGTATGTTTTCGGTCTTTTCCTATCCGCTTGGCTCCTCGATAAAGCAATTAGAGTTCTGTGCTATACTAATTTATTAGCTTGACTTCTGCTCCCCTCAAATAGTGAGTTCCTTCATGGAAAGGGCTGCAGATTTTGTCTACAAAGGGACAACTAGTTAATAAGTTGGGCTGTCTGAGCCAGAGAACCTCTGTTATAGCTGCTTGGCTTTGTCAGTGAACAATGAAAGCAAGCATAGGCAATAATGTACATGAACAGGCTGTGTTACAATAAAACTTGATTACAACAAAAGCTTGAATTCAATATGGTCATTGTGTATGATGGAATATGGTCATCGTGTATGTATGGTGGGATATGGTCATCATGTATGATGGAATATGATCATCATGTATGTATGGTGGAATATGGTCATCATGTATGATGGAATATGGTCATCATGTATGTATGGTGGAATATGGTCATCATGTATGATGGGATATGGTCATCATGTATGGTGGAATATGGTCATCATGTATGTATGGTGGGATATGGTCATCATGTATGTATGGTAGGATATGGTCATCATGTATGTATGGTGGGATATGGTCATCATGTATGTATGGTGGAATATGGTCATCATGTATGTATGGTGGAATATGGTCATCATGTATGTATGGTGGGATATGGTCATCATGTATGTATGGTGGGATATGGTCATCATGTATGTATGGTAGGATATGGTCATCATGTATGGTGGAATATGGTCATCATGTATGTATGGTGGAATATGGTCATCATGTATGTATGGTGGAATATGGTCATCATGTATGTATGGTGGGATATGGTCATCATGTATGTATGGTGGGATATGGTCATCATGTATGATGGAATATGGTCATCATGTATGGTGGAATATGGTCATCGTGTATGATGGAATATGGTCATCATGTATGTATGGTGGAATATGGTCATCATGTATGATGGAATATGATCATCATGTATGTATGGTGGAATATGGTCATCATGTATGATGGAATATGGTCATCATGTATGATGGGATATGGTCATCATGTATGATGGGATATGGTCATCATGTATGGTGGAATATGGTCATCATGTATGTATGGTGGGATATGGTCATCATGTATGTATGGTAGGATATGATCATCATGTATGATGGAATATGGTCATCATGTATGGTGGGATATGGTTATCATGGATGATGGAATATGGTCATCATGTATGGTGGAATATGGTCATCATGTATGTATGGTGGGATATGGTCATGTATGTATGGTGGGATATGGTCATCATGTATGGTGGAATATGGTCATCATGTATGTATGGTGGGATATGATCATGTATGTATGGTGGGATATGGTCATCATGTATGGTGGAATATGATCATCATGTATGTATGGTGGGATATGGTCATCATGTATGTATGGTGGGATATGGTCATCTTGTATGATGGAATATGGTCATCATGTATGTATGGTGGAATATGGTCATCATGAATGATGGAATATGGTCATCATGTATGATGGAATATGGTCATCATGTATGGTGGAATATGGTCATCATGTATGGTGGGATATGGTCATCATGTATGATGGAATATGGTCATCATGTATGGTGGAATATGGTCATCATGTATGGTGGAATATAGTCATCATGTATGGTGGAATACTGTTTTCCAGTCGTTGCTGTTTTAAGTTGATTGAAAAATGTAAAATTTAAAAGCTAGATGTGGTGGTGCACTCAGGAGGTGGAGGCAGGAGGATCAAGAGTTCAAGGTCACCCTTGGCTACATAACAACAAGTTCAAGGCCATCCTTGGCTATGTGGCCAGATTTGGCTGAACAGCAATAATTTGCTATTTCATTAGGGACACGGATGAATTGCATATGAAACAGCTATCAGTAACAACTATTGACCTAGATGTCTGTTGTTTCCAGCCTAGCTGCATGTGACTTTTATAGACTGAATAATATTGGGCAAGGTATGTCTCTGTATTTGTTTTCTCATCAGTACAATGGTACCTATTTCAAAGAGGTGTTATTAGGATTAAGTACTTTAGTTTGTATGACAGTTGAGCAGTGATTAGCACATAGCAAACCCTATAAATAAAGGCAATGACAACAAACGCTTTGATAATATCTTGCCCCAGGAGAGACACTCAATGTATTTCTCCATATATAATATATTAGAAAGTATTGAGAGAAATTGTCCAATAAGCAATTGCCTAAAAGAATACACACACACACACACACACACACACACACACCAATTGAAGGCATAAAAATATGTGCGATGGCTGGAGAGGTGGCTTAGTGGTTAAAAGCACTTGCTTTTCTTACAGAGGACCAGGATCCAGTTCCCAGAAACATCTGTAACTCCAATTTCACAGGATCTGACGCCCTGTTCTGGCCTTGGTCGGTACTGCACACATGTTGTGCACAAACAGAAGGGCAAAACACTAATACACATAAAATAGATTGATATTTCTAAAAATATGTGAGGTAGATAAGAGTCAAATAAGAATACCTTTAGAGTCAGGGAAACTAATATTTATGGCAACTTGATTTTATATTTGTTCTCAAAACTCTAGTTTCTTCCTTTTCCTAATATTGTTTGCCAATGTTACCCTTGTTGTAGCCTCTTTTCCAGCCCAGTGACCTCACCTGGCCAGCTTTCCCACCACTGCATCTCAGTGGGTACTCCTGTTCCTAACAGACCAGTTCTCCAAGTAGGCCATACTCATTTATAACTTTCAATCATGAGACTAGCCGTGCCCGCAAGGTTCTTCTTTCAGACCTCTGCTGTCTAAATCTTACCACTGGAGAAGGGTGAGATTCTCATTTTCGGCTTAAAACCTTTCTAAGGTCTTCCCTGTATTAAAGCCAACTCCTTGCCACGGCTACAAGGGCTTTTTGGTCTGGTGCCAGGCGACCCTCGTTGGCTCTCCTTATTGGTATGTGTTAGCCTCCTTCCTGTTCATCTGCTTGTGTTTGGGGGATGGAATAAGTTAAAATGTCTGTAAAGTGATTAGAAGAGAGTTTAACACATGGTAAATATTTCCTAATTTTGGTGAAATGAGGTAAAAGAAAATATATACTTTCTTGATTTTGTTTGTCTGGAGAATACTGACTAAAATAAACCCTTTATATAAAACATTTGTAACCTCACCCTAGAAAAGCAATGACAAAATTACCTAAAATAATAAAAGATTTGTAAAAAGTAGTAGGATATAAAATGAATATGCAAAAAGCTATATTTACAAACAAGTTAAAAAAGTAACATGATAAAGCCTCATTTAAATAAATTTTTTTTCAAAAACTGACAACAAATGTTCAAAATCTATCTGAAGAAAATTATAAAATATTCCCTATGGTGTCTCAGATTAAGGCTAAAGAGAAGTGGCAGTTAAAAGTAGTAGTTGACTCTAAATTGGAGCTTGATTTGAAATGAGCATGGGGACATTATTGAGTCAAAAACTAACAAAATTGAGATACTACCATCACAGCAGTTTTATCCAAAACAGCCTAAACTGAGAAATGTCCCCAGTGTCCTTTAGCAAGAGAGCGGGTACTTTATGGTACATCTATGCAATTACAAGACCATCTGGTGACGCCGAAGTGCAAGACCTCACAAAATCAGTCTATGATAGAAGTCAGGAAGTGGTTTCTTTGGGAAAGAGAAAAATTCTCTGAAAAGCAGCATGGCAGAACTTTCTGGAGTGATGGAAATGTTTTAGAATATGTTTGTGGGGGCAGGATTCTTACAAATGCCACGTAATCAAACTGGGTATGCAAGATCTATGTCT